GAGGCCGAAACCAACGGACATCCGCGGAGAGAGCTCGCGGGAACGGATCCCGGGGTAGCTTAAAGATGAGACCACACGGAATCGCTCCGCCCGTCTGTCTCCCCCGCGCAGGGGCGTAGACAGCTCGCCTCGGATGCTCAGGCTGCCCTGGACCCGGGCGCTTCCCGGGCTGACCCGGCGGGTGTGGGGACAGGGGCCGCCCGGGCCCCAGGAGCCCGGCGTGAGGACGTTAGGACGCGCCCGAAAAACCGGCGCTCGGGTTCCTTTTCTCTCGGCGGCCGGGGCTGAGCACGTTCCAACCCCGCCTTACCCGAAACCTCTGTGCCCTCCGGCGCGGCTTGGGTTCGTTTTATAACCGCTGAGACCCTTCCAAAGCGCTGGGTGCGCGCGGGGCGCGGGGTCCTGAGGGGGCGACGCGGGGTCCCCGAGGCTGGCCCGCCCCTCCGCCACCCCGCCCGGCCCGGAACGGGGCCCTTCCTTTTCCCGTCGGCGCGCAGGGCTCCTTCCCGGGGCGGAGCCGTGGAGGGAAGACTGGCGCCCGCCTTTCTCCTGGCCGAAGCAGACCCAAAGAGAGGGTCCCGTTGGAGCCCTCCTGGAGTTTAGACGCCTGTCTGGCCTGCCGGTGCAAAGACCCGGGTAAAGTGCTGGATTCAAAGGGCTCCGGCCCACGGCCCGGCCTTGTGGCCGCGGTGCCAAGGCCGAGTGAGTGGGCCAGTGCTCTCCTCCATCAAAAATAAAATAATTTTTTTTGAGTCGGGTCTCACCCTGTTGCCCAAGCTGGAGTGCAGTGGCGTGATGACAGTTCACCGCAGACTTCGCCTCCTGGGCTTAGGCAATCCCTCTGCCTCAGCCTCCTGAGTTTCTGGAACGACAGGAGCGCAGCCACACTGCTAATTTATTTTTTTTTTAATTTTTTAGTAGAGACAGCGTCTTGTCTCGCTGCGTTGCCCATGCTGGCCTTGAACTCCTGGACTCAAGCATACCTCCCTCCTTCACCTCCCGAAGTGCTGGGATTACAGGCTTGAGCCACCCCGTCTGGCTGGCCCAAAAATAGTAAAAAAAAATTATATTTTATACTGTGTTGGTGTAAAGACAAATCTGTTCATATATATGACCATAAAACACTTTCTTTGACCTAAAAGTTTATATTTTTCTCGAGATTTTTAAAAGAAACGAAAACATGCTTTTTTTGCAGATCCCTGTAGGTTTTCTTCCCTGGGCCCTGGGCACTGCACCTAGGACCAAGTCAGCTGGGGAAAAGAAAAGGACACCCCTGGTGTGACCAGGACAGAGCAGAGTTTCGGCTGCAGGCCCAGGCCGGGCCTGGGAGGACGGGGGGACTGGGGAGCCGGACCCCACGGAGAGAGAGGTTGCCTGCTCCCGGGACAAGGACAGGCACAGAGATGGAGGAGACAAATACTTCTGTGTACTGGTCCCTGTCGGGGCCTGCACCTTGGCTTCAGAGGTTACAGCGCGTTCTGCAGGAGAGACACTGATTCCCTGCCACCCGGCCACAGGGCTCCTGGCACTGTGTGAGGAAAACTGACGCTAAAAATAGGGGCTTGCACACCTGTTAGCCACGGGCAGCAGGATGATCTGCTTCCACCCCTGGGGTCTTCCTTGCTTAGCCCTTCCCTTACTGACCCAGGAGAGGAAACAGCTGGATGTGAGTCTGGCTTTTTCCACCATAAGCTTTCCAATCCTCAACTTTAACGATTGGTGTATTATAAATAAGAAAGTGCAGAGACAGTTAGACGGTTGGTGATACTTTAAAATAAACATGTATTTTTAAACATTATTTATTTATTTTTGAGTTGGGGGGATCTCACTCCATCCCCCAGGCTGGAGTGCGGTGACATGATCATGGCTCACCACAGCCTCGACTTCCTGGGCTCAGGCGATCCTTCTGCCTCAGCCTCCTGAGTAGGTGAGACTACAGGTGTGTGCCACCACGCCTGACTACTTTTTTGATTTCTTGTGAAACAAAGTCTTGCTGTGTTGCCCAGGCCGGTCTCAAACTCCTGGGCTCAATCAATGCTCCCGCCTCAGTCTCCCAAAGCACTGGGATTACAGGTATGAGCCCCCATACCCGGCCTATGTTTTATTAGTACAACAACATCCAGGTACATTTGGAAACTAGCCACATTTTGTATCTGGGCGAGGGACAGGGTGTGGGACACCTGGATCTTGGGCCTCCTACCACAGCATTGTGGTCTCAGCCACGGGCTGGGAACCAGTGACCAGCCCTGAACCCAGAGCTCTAACATTTTTTAAGTCATGCTTTTAAGTGACAGCTGATGGCATTAATTGGCAGAACAGTTTATAACTGTTCTACAGAACAGTTGCAAACTTGACCCAGGTGGTAGCACACCATTAATAATTGCCCTCCCCAGCCCTCAGCCCCCCGTGGAGGGCCTGGCCCAAGGAGCCAGCCAGTGTGGACACAGAGGGCTGCCCAGGTGGCTCTGTACCTAGCACTGTGTGGAAGACATGGCTCCTTCCCTTAGGCCGGAATCTCTGAGCTAGTGGTCTCAGACTTCTGGATGTGTTCATGTCATGGGGCACATGTGAAAACTATAGAGTCCTGAGCCAACCCTAGGGGTGACAACCTCAGGGTCTAGAAGCCCCTCAGAAAACACCACAGGAGGGATATGCAGTTCACACTGCAAGACGATCAGGTGACGAGCGGGCCACGCTGATGAGAATGCCAAGTGCGAATGCATTTCAGCACCAGTGGGTGGAAGCCCGGGGTACTTCTAAAGAGCAAGTGTTGACCTGGGGAAGGTCACAGTGTCTGTATTTTATAGAGGAAAATAGAAACTTGGGAGTGAAGGGATTTACTTCTGTATGGAGCTCAGTGAGCGAGTGCCCCGCACTGTCAAAGGATCCCGAGTAGGTGGCTTGTGTGTGTACGCCTGTGTGTGCACATGCTTGTGTGTACGCACGCGTGCACTGCAGGCAGGTGCTAGTCTTCTGGCCACAGTGACACTGCAGGGTCCCACTGGACCTCCAGAGGTAAGGAGTCGGCAGTTGTTAGCCTCATTGACTTAGGTCTATGAAACTGTTGGCTGAGCCTGGGTTCCTAGGGGCTGATGAGTAAATACTGTAGTATCGCTCCCGACAAGACAACGGTCATCTCCAAGGCTGGGATTTTCATGAAAAGGCACAAAGGAGTAGATAGGCCCAGAGTGTCGTGAGTGCTAGGTGTTTCTTCCCGTGGCTGACATGAGTCAGGTGGGCCCCATCGTTGGTAGCCATGGCGTCTCCGGTGCCCTCCAGGAGAGGGAGGCTCTCTGCGCCCTTGCGTGGGGCGGCTTGGCGGGATGCAGGCGGAGGGGCGGGAGCCTCCCTGCGCCTGGGGAGGGGCGCCAGGTGTGCCTGGGGTGCACGGAGCGTGGGGGCGGGTGAAGTGGGCACAGAGGCGGGAGGCGTGTGTGCTCACGTGTGCACTCCGGCGCGCGTGCACGTCGGCGCACTCGAGTCTGTGTGCACGAGTGGGCGTGCGTGTGCGCACGTGTGAGTGCGAGCACACGCGCGTCTGTGCGTGCGCCTCCGTGTGCGCGCGCGCGTGCCTGCTGCCGCAGCCTGGCGGCCGCGGCCCAGACCCCGAGCGCCGCCCTGTCCCCCGTGCGCAGGCAAGTCGTGGAAGGCGCTGACGCTGTCGCAGAAGCGGCCGTACGTGGACGAGGCGGAGCGGCTGCGCCTGCAGCACATGCAGGACTACCCCAACTACAAGTACCGGCCGCGCCGGAAGAAGCAGGCCAAGCGCCTGTGCAAGCGCGTGGACGCCGGCTTCCTGCTGGGCTCCCTCGCCCGGGACCAGAACGCGCTGCCCGAGAAGCGGGGCGGCGGGCGCGCGCCGCCGG